GTCCACTGTGGATTTATCTCGGGCTCAAAATGAGGACTGTGTCTTCTTGGCATGGGGTCCTCTTGTATGCGGCATTCTACTCTCATAGTTGTGTGCTTGGTACAGTCTGTTTCTCTTGTAGTTTTAACTTTGTACTTCAAACACTGGACACTCACAGTTCACACAGGCTTGTATTTCACTGACTTCAACACCTGAATGCTGACACAACAGTTTGGTGGTCTCGGTCAGAGATGGACTGGTTCACTTCACTACCAACAATAAGTGTTATTACATTGGAGCCTATGATCGGCCGAGAAAGGCTGGAGCCACTCAAAACAAGGGTGGGGACAGTGACCTCGGTGGGAGCATTATTAACATGTAATCTGAAGGTGACTTCTAACCAACCAATATAGGGCATCTTTTCTCCATTCGCAGCTGTTATTGCCAATGTATTGTCACCTTCGAATATTTCACAAATGTCTCTGAGTTTCATATGTGATAGATTCTCTTCCCACCACTTTTCATCATCTATTGTTACTTGAGAGCCAGAATCCCATAATGCTTGTGTCTTCTGATTTTGTATGTAACAATCCACTAAGTATTTTTGTCCAATTAGCGGTGCCACTTTGACATTATGCTTAGATGACTTGGATTTGACACTACCACTTGACACGTGCACATTACTTTGTGGGCAAGTCCAGTGTTGAGTTTTGACAGGATTTTGAGCAATAAAGTACATTTTTAGACATACTTGTGCACCTTGTCTCCTACCAGTCTTTACAGCTTTTTCACACTTTGGGTCATACTTTGTCGGGGTCCCTCAGGTCGGTCCCTCTGGAGTGACCCTTGCCCGTTTAAAGGATGAGAACTGGCGCGCTCCTCTCATCCTGCAACCTGCTATGAAATGTTCATTACTACCACATACATAACAATGTCTGCAATCATCAGTGTTGTTTTGCTGACAGGTGAAACAACGCCTCCTACGCCTGGGAGCGGGTATTGCATAATTCCTTGGGGTCGTTTGGTTGTACTGGGGGTTCTGATATACATACTGACTGGGCCATGGCATTTGGGGCGGCATTGCGGGTGGGACAGTCATCTGTGGATTGACAGGGATTGAGTGTGGTTCAACTTGAATTTGTGACTGCGGTTTTTGCATGAACTCTTTTATTTGAGAGACTTCAGCTTTTAAATCACTCAGTAGTGTCATGTTGGATCTCATTTCCTTCAGTTCAGATAATATGTCCGGTTGCACTTTGGATTTCTTTTGTGGGTCTGATACTTTACCTTGTCTTTCAGCTGGGCTTTCGCTGGACTCTGCAGAATGAATAGCAACACGTTGTGGGGCTAGCAATTTTCGTTTGTCTTGTCTTTCACTTTCACAGGCACAAGAAGTATTAAGCTTTTCTAACAACAGTTCATCTGACACATTTTCATGTTGTAGATACGGCTGTAGGTCACGTTTTATGTTGTCATTCTGTAACCCAGTTAGGAGCGTGTGAAGAAACATATTTTGCACAAGGGTGGGATCATACTTTAAACCTGATTCAGATTCTTGAGAAGCGAAAAGTATTTTCTGTCTGAGATCAAGAGCACGAATGACAAAACTCTGAGGGGTTTCTTTATTACTTTGTACCTCTGAGCTCAGTTGTTTGTACAGATCTGTAGCACTTTTCTCTTGATAGTGGCATCGAAGAATTCTTCTCAGAGCGGGGAGTGTTAAGTTGGCTTTCCCTTCGAGGTAACTACGGAGTTGCATACCTGGAGTGATGGCTCTTATGACGGCGTCCACAATCTCTGCTTCCGTAAAACCCTTACTTAGCCCATGCTCAATTTGACGTGCCAGACTTGAAAAAGTGAGACGGTCTTTCTGCCCCGGCTCACCGATTAGACCAGAGATTTTTAAGTCTTTATTCCAGGGAACTGTGACCTGTGGATGAGCAGTATATAGGCAATGTGCTTGCCTGCTCGGTGTTGGACTGTTTTTTTTAGTTTGCATTAATGATAGCTTCAGTTGTAGTGCCTCGATTTCTTTAGTCAACTTTACATGTTCATTGGAAGTTTCATCTGCCTTGTTCTGTTGCATATTCTGATCGTTACCCTGGTTCAAAATATCAGTCACATTGCTTTGACTTGCTTCCATCTGTACGGACTCACTCGCAGGTAAGACAGGTTCTCCAATATTTTTATATTCTTTTATTTGGTCTCTTATGTACAGCAACTCTGACATACCTTGATCTTCGAGCTGTTCCGTCTCATCACGTTGCAAATAAGAGCTTATCATGGTAATTAGCACAATGCGGGGCTTATTCTGTGTCTGTTCACGTCCCTCGATGTCTAAAAGTCCAAAAATACTCAGTAACTGCTCTTCAGATAGCGTACACAGTGCTTGGATCACTTCTAGCTGAAGTTCTTCCATGACGTTAGACTCCATTTTGTTATTACACAGATATAAGGTGACGACGAGTTTTCGCGCCTCAGCAGCGTTAGCTTTAGCTCTGAATATTAGCTTGGCTTTCCTGGTGGCTGTAACTTCACCTCAGATTACACAGGCTTTATTCATGCAGTCCGCTGCCGTTGCTGTAACGAATTTTGCTCTTTGTCGTCAGCCTGGGTTGTTTAGGGGGGATGAGAAAGCAACTTGGGTTACTCCTGACATGAGCTAGCCTTCGTTGCGCTCATCCCAGCGGTGCCTCCAAAATGTTACACCCCTGAAATAAGGAGAAAACCACGAGAGTGATTTGGGTGCGTTTCCCTCTTGCAGGAGTTTAATACAAGTCTTATAAACAAATACGAATATGATACAATTACAACAATTGGTCCCTTTTACCTGAAATAAGGAGAAAACCACGAGAGTGATTTGGGTGCGTTTCCCTCTTGCAGGAGTTTAATACAAGTGAGGAAAGAGCGCGAACCCCCCCCCCTATCTGTCGGTGTGGGCAAAACCAATCGCTCCATTGTTGTTCAGGCTTACTAGTCGATAACAATCTTTTCTGTAAAAACTCAAAAAGTAAATACTGAATTAACTGTAGATATTTTAACATACCTTTAACCATATTTATCTTGTTTTTTTAAATATTATGTAAATTATGAAATAACTATTTATTGCAAATCTCTTTTTCTGTATATATATCTATTACATTGTTTTTATCACTATTACAAGTGCACATAATCAAAACAACTATCTAATGTATGCAAACTTTAGCAGGAGGAGCACAGCAAAAACATACTCATAATAATAGGCCTCGGCGCCCACACAGAAAAATATAAGAAAGAGCTAACAGAGCAGCGCAGGCTAGCGCTAGTTTGACTCACCAGTTCCTCTTTAAAACACGGCACACAGTGTGACAACTGCGTCGATTCAATTGTATGAGGCGCCTGTAGTGAAAGCATATCAATTACGGTTTGTAGAACAAAATATGACGTTAGGTTGCGATAAATACCTGCAGCTCGCTCATTTCCAGCTCCCCTAGACAACACACCCACCGGTGAATGCAGTCCGCTTGTTTAGGGAAGTGTTGCTGCGCGAACTGCGGGGAACTCACGTTCGAACTCTCTCGCGAGCGCTACAACTACCGCGAGGCTTTGTTTCTTCAGAGACGGCATAGATAGAAAGAGAGATGCGGAGAAAGGTAAAAATGGCCCGGGTTACGCAAGTCTTTGCAAGTCAATTGGCGCAAGTCCAAGTGAAAGTCAGAGTCATTGATGTTAAAGTCCAAGTCGAGTTGCAAGTCTTTTTACATTTGGTCAAGTCGAGTCTAAAGTCATCAAAATCATGACTCGAGTCTGACTCGAGTCCAAGTCACATGACTCGAGTCCACACCTCTGCTAGTGACCTAGCTCTTTAAATGCATGGCCCCTCTTTCCTCCTGCAGATAGACGGATTTAAATACATTCATTTAACAATAGTGACCTGCGAGTAATGAGATTAATGCTGTAAAGATGGCGCCGTGGCAAGAGCTCTGGTGTGTACAGTCTGGAGCACGATGGGGTAGTCTTTGCACATATTTCCAACGTGGTTTTACTGCAAGTGGCAGAACATGAATCTGAATTAATGCACACTGCTCCTTTTATATCCCTCAGACAATAGAGATTTGATGCCATTTAAGATGCATTGCCCCTCAGTTAGCTCAAACACGTGTGAAAACGGAGCCTGCAGACCAAGCACGGGGCGAAACTGGCGCCTGTAGTCAAGTGCGTAGGGCAAAACCAGCCGCTTGCAGCCCAGACTCAGGGATTAATCCGTCCGCAGGTCAGCACACTCACTGTACTCACATGCCAGGAGACGTGGGAAAAGCAACGGGACAACGCGGCACCGCCAGTCGGAGGCAGGGACACGCACGGCACCGCCAGACCGTCTGCGCGCGGCAGCAGACCACGAGGAACGAGCAGCACAGGACCCGCGGAGGGGCCCCGCGGAGCAGCCCGCAGAAGAGCCCGCAGAGAGAGCAGTGGAGACACGCGAACCATAGCAGGTGCAGGGACACGGAGGAGGAGCAGACCACGAGCAGCCAGACTGAGGACAGCCGGGCCACGCGCACGAGCAACACGTGAGCAGAAAGCGACCCCTCCAGAACAACGCATGCATTTGCGAACAGGAGCGTTAGCGACATGCACCTTGCAGACTTCAGAAGCTTGCGGACTTCAGAAGGCTGGGAAGTGGGTGTCTCCGGCTTTTAACTTGCTGTCCTGGTGGTTATTGGTTGATTAGATGTGGGCGTTGCTGGTATGATGAGTCGAGGATGAGCAGGCTTGTAGATCTGGGCAAGCAGCGGCCGGGTCTACCACAATGAACTTTCGCGAAGAGCTTCATATGCACCATCATACAGCGCCATCATGTCATGTGACCAAAATGTATGGCAAGAATCCGATCGTTTTTCAAAATAAAGGATGATTTATTTATTATTTTCTTGGCGGCCCGGTTCGAATATCCCAAGTCTAGGTAGACCGAGGGGCTGGTGACCACTGGTGTGTGAGGCATCCTGTACGATACATGTAATAAGTGGTGCTTTGTCTGACAGGTGATGAAGACCTACCACATGTACCACAGCGAGAGTCTGAGTGCAGAGAACAAGCTGAAGGAGGCGGAGAAGCAGGAGGAGAAACACAATCACAAATCCAACGACAGCGGACTCCTGCGCTACGGCCACGACGAGCGACCACAGAGGCGGAGCTCCGTCAAGAAGATGGAGAAGATGAAGGAGAAGGTCAGCACTTTAGAGGCTTCAGAGGGGAACCTGTATCATACACATAAACTTATAAAACACATTGACTAACTAAAGAAGTCGTGATCGTTAAACATGTATCGTCAAATAAAAATAACTGAAGTTTTGTGATGCATGTTACAGTCTAGTTTTCTCATGACACATTTATCAACACATTTTCTTATGTTAATTCTCTGACATGAACAAAAGTTTAGCTTTTAGTTCAATCTTTTATTTTGAGTGTTGCTTTGGCTCTTGGTGCAACAGTCAAAGAAGAGAAGTAGAGAATAGAGTAAGGCATAGTAAAAGATCAACGTGCACTTCTGAGATACAAAAATTAAAATTATTACAATATGATATGCTCATTACATAGGTATTAGATGGCAACCTGTATCACACATAGACAAACAAATCTGTTAGTATTGAAACAAGTGTGTTATTCAAGATGGAGAATGACTGATAGACGTTTAATAGTTAGCACATTTTTAAGTCATTGACAAAAATCTAGGCTAATTTAACTGATTGTATGTAGGTATGTGTATGACTATTTGAAGTTACTCCAGAAACATAGCATAAGTGAGTAGGGAGAAAGCACCCAATTTTGTTGCTGCAAGACTTATTATTGGAAGTTGCAAAGTCCCCCTCCTCCAGCCACCAACATCACTTTAAAGCTTGGAACCTGCAGAATCCCCTTGTTGTTTATAAACCATATATCTGTAATTGATGACTGTAACATGCACAAGATTATGCTAACGCTGTAGCCCAAAGCAGAAATCCTAGTTTACACTGTCATTCATCCAATATCTGTTTTTTTTTTCCGTTTTCTATTCAATAAGCCAACAAAGTAGTGAGTGTCAAGGCAGAATCACATACAATAAGGATCATTAACAGTTACAGCTATTCAAAGTTGAGAGTCGTGTGAACATCTCATGTGGAGACCAGTTAGTTAGTTGAAGTTTGTCTGTGTCCAGGCTATCGTTCAAAATCTAATCTAATGTATAGAAGCATTGACAGTGCATTAGGGATCCTTTTTGCGTCTTCCATTGATGGCAGTCTTCTCTTTCTCCCCCAGAGACAAGCAAAGTACTCAGAGAACAAGCTGAAATGCACAAAAGCCCGTAACGACTATCTGCTCAACCTCACCGCGACCAACGCCCTAGTGGCCAAATACTACATCCACGACGTCTCCGACATGATCGATGTAAGTTATCCTCCTTCATCATACTATCAAAATAAATAAAAAATCACAGCACAAAAAATATCTGCCTTAACATGTAGGAAATGTTCATCTAAGACAGACAAGTTTTCTGCTAAATTATATAGTTAATTCTCCCAGAGATAATGAATGCCCTTTCTTTTTGAAAGTGTGCACGTTAAAGTACTCCATCCATCCATCCATTTTCTTCCCCTTAATCCATTTCTGGGTAGGGGGGGTGGCCAGAGATGCCACCCAGTCCACAGAGCACCAGCCCAGCTGAGATCTTTCAGTGGGAGCTTCAGGCAAAGTGGGGTTAAGTGTCTTGCCCAAGGACACAACAACAGCAGTCATCAGTGGGAGTTAAAGTACTATTTACCATAAAGCACGGATGAATCAGGAAAGTAACCTGGATTGAAATTCATTTTTATATTGATTCAGCTTTACAGTATAAGTTGGTTGAGCCTTTATTTCCTTTGAATCAGAGAAAATGTTTAACACATTTTGAACATGTGACATTATTGGTATTAAAATTCAGTTTGCAAGTAACTGGAATTGGATTAGGTTTGTTTTGCATGATGTTAGATAATTGTTTTATTTTTGATGATGTAAAATGTTATTGCATTATTATTGTATTATAGTAAGATTTTCTGTATTTATTTATTTTTTATTTTATTTTTTTATGAACCCCTGGAGGAACAGCATCAGCTTGACTTGCACTCATGGGCATACACAATCAACAAACAAACAAAGTAGTAATTATTTTCCCTCATTGCGTCCCTACAGTGCTGTGACCTGGGCTACCATGCCAGCCTGGCCCGCACTTTGAGAACCTACCTATCGGCTGAGTACAGCTTAGAGACCTCTCGTCATGAAGGTCTGGATCTGCTGGAGGGAGCAGTGGACGCGATGGACATCAGAGGAGACAAGCTGAAGTTCATGGACATGCACTGTCAGATCTTCTGCCCTCCAGCGCGCTTCGACTACCAGCCGCACATGGGCGATGAGGTACGGCCTAGAGCAGGGGTCACTTTGGGAAATCGCTCTTTATGTGGAGGGCCAAAGCTGATTCCATTTTGTTTAATGTACAAAGACAAGTGTAAGTATTTATTTAACAAACATCAAGTGTGGATATTCAGTTTAGAGCTAATTATTTTGTAGGGGATATTGTACAGACGTCATTATCGGAAAACAAGTACCGACAGGACACATCTGACAGTGACGCGCAAGGTTTATGTAATGACTGCAAATAAAATAGTTCCAAAAGGTTTTGCTGTGCTGTGGCTAGGTGAGCAACAGCTAGGCTAGCTACTTATTGGACTGAACGATGTCGGTGAGTGACCCATACTGTTTATATCAACCTAAATCCATGATCAGTTCCTCTGCAAATGCATCCTAAATTTTTGTATTATCGTTAATGGTTACTCCCGGGTTTACTGCAGTCGCATTAAAACAGTATTTTTGTCATGAAACATATTAACAGATAATTCTTAAAACCTTTGTGCATGTGTATTAAGAATGTTTATGTATTATGTATAATCCGATTTACATTTAAACGTGTTGATTGATTGTTATTTATCATTGAGCAGAGCTAGCGTAAATGTGCTAGCGTTATCTATTTCCAGAAGTTTGTTGACGAAGTGGCCGGACTACTTGCGGATCTGTCACTGTATCTGACACAACTGAGTCACAAGCACAAGATGCGTTTTCAATAGCAGCGGTCATTTTTCTTTGTGTAACAGGAAGTCATAGAGAAGGAAATTGCTTTGGCTCTCGGTGCAATCAAGCAAAAAGTAGAGAAGAATAAGGCATAAGGCATAATAAGGCACAATAAAACATTTCTAAACATGTCTAAAGCTGCGGTAGAGCGTTTTGAAATAGCGTTCAAATCAAGGGAGCATTCTACTTCTGCTGTGAGGAGCCGTACAATAATAATAATAATAATAATAATCAAAATGAGAACAGAAAATATGAATAACATGCCATGGTTGCACTGTTACAAGCCCGGTATGAGGTTAACCGCTGGGAAGGGTCCGCACTTTTCTCAGGTCTGGTCTTAAAAGAAAGTTTAATTGAATGTGCACAATAGTCTTATTCAAGGAGCTGTTGTCCTCTGCAGGTGTGTCAGGTGAGCGCGCAGCAGCCGGTCCAGACGGAGCTGCTCATGCGCTACCACCAGCTGCAGTCTCGCCTCGCCACGCTCAAGATAGAAAACGAAGAGGTAAGGACAAATGATATGAGTGTAATGTTAAATACACAGCAGTATTATGACAGTGTGTTCATGTAGGTGTGTAGTCATCATTGTGTGTTTCGCTGTGACATTGCTGCAACATTGTCGAGTGTTTTTGTGCATGGTCACTCAAAAATCTGAAATATTTAGATTGAATACAGAATAAGTCAATTTTTTTTGTTTCTATTTATTTATTTATTTGAACAGTATTAATACTGCACAATCAAAATGTGCATATTATAATGAAAATAGTTCAGAACACGGATATAAAGGCACAAAAGAGCTACATCTGCGCATACTGAATTACAGAACAATCACAATCAATTTACAGAGTAAAGAATATGTCATGACATTGACTTTGACTTCACTGACCAGAGAGAGACCAGAGAGAGACCAGAGAGAGACCAGAGAGAGACCAGAGAGAGACCAGAGAGAGACCAGAGAGAGACCAGAGAGACCAGAGAGAGACCAGAGAGAGACCAGAGAGAGACCAGAGAGAGAGACCAGAGAGAGACCAGAGAGAGACCAGAGAGAGACCAGAGAGAGACCAGAGAGAGACCAGAGAGAGAGACCAGAGAGAGACCAGAGAGAGACCAGAGAGGGACCAGAGAGAGAGACCAGAGAGAGACCAGAGAGAGAGACCAGAGAGAGACCAGAGAGAGACCAGAGAGAGAGACCAGAGAGAGACCAGAGAGAGACCAGAGAGAGACCAGAGAGAGACCAGAGAGAGAACAGAGAGAGACCAGAGAGAGACCAGAGAGAGACCAGAGAGAGACCAGAGAGAGACCAGAGAGAGACCAGAGAGAGACCAGAGAGAGAGACCAGAAAGACTCACTGACAAAAGGACAAAATAGATTTTAAGTTTATGTTTCAAGGCAGTTTCAGTAACACTTTGAACTGTTCTTATTCTTATTACCAGAGTGAGACACCACAACAGTCTGGTTAAGACCGATCTCCACAAAGCAAGAGACACAATATCACCATATTATTATTTTAAATATACTGACAACAAGTTACTGTGAACAGATTAAACCCATTTCGCTCAAAAAAGAGATGTTGCTGTACTTTTTTACAGAGTAGGCAGTGACCCTATGTAGTGTTGTGCGATAAAAAAATAATTGGATATCAATGTCTGTTACTTTCCAAACTGAGAAGAGAGAGCGAAACCTTTTGCAGTCGCTGTTTAGACCTCCACTTGCACCTGATGGGTCAAAATGGATTCATTGATTCAAATCCTTCGTCAGGCTTCGTCATTAGTTTATCTATTCATCTTAACGGTGGTAGTTATGCTAATGAGAATAACTTTTAAATAATATTATATTTAAAAATGACTTACTGATTCTACAGTGTCTCATTATTTAGAAAATGAAATACACAGTAGCTGACGTCACCTAAAAATACTGTGTTTTCAAAGTATAATGTCAGTACTCTGCTGCAGTTTTAAATATATACTCGTTTCTACAACAGAAGAGAAAGCATGCTAAGTAATTACAGGCCGCCTTTATTAAAGTCCTGCATTATGCTATCGTTTCATTAGATTTTTGGCAGGAAATTACTGTCTGTCAAAACACACAAGATGCTCTGCAGGGAGATGAATTGCAGATCCTTATCAGGAGATGTAAGATAGACTTTGAAGATTCATTATTGTGCAGACGGAGAGATTGTAGTTTTTCACACAATGTACTTTCTATGGCACATTAAGCGCTAGTAACAGCGGATTAACATAAATTATGAATAATACAGATGATTAAGCATTAATCATATTACTTGTGCTCCATAACAGACTGAAAATCAAGTTGTTATTATTTGTTAAGTATATAATCATAATAGTACAAAATCACTATTGCAATTCTTCCATAGTATTATCTGCTAACAAATCAAACTTGAAAATACTGGTTTTGCCCCACCCCTCTTCTTACATGAAGCAAAGAGTACTTTAGCTGTCAATGGTTTGTTTGTTGATCTATTAAAAATCTCTAACTTAAGCATAAAAAAATGCATTGTATATCATGTCTAGCTTCAGCGTAATAAGGAAGCAAGTCTAAAATCTCCAACTTTAGCATAATGATAGAAGCAAGCATCAAGTATAAAATCTCTGACTTTAGCATAATAATACAAACAAATCCCACTTTTGTTTGGCCTTATAGAAACATTCATACACTTGCAGCCCTCCGACGGTGTCATCCTGTAGCATGTAACCGTAAACATTGGCTCCACATCTGTATTCTGATGTCGTCTCTGGCTGCGGAGCCCGGAGCCCTCAGGACCCTCTGACAGATATTGTTCCAACGTGACCAGGGTTTGAGTGAAGGTCAGGAATGCACTCATGAATATGGACACACTTGGAGGTGGATGTCAGCGTGGATATCACAGATAGGCTTTGAATCTTTTAAAGCTATCTACAGTATAAGCACTAATCATAGGTGAAACATGAGAATGCCACTTCATGTTGGTGTATGGCATTGTAATGTGTGAGCCAGACAAATCTGACTCAGTTTAAGAAAGATGAGTGCTTCGGTGAGTCAGTTTTGCGGTGAAAAAACACTGTTGACATTTGAGAAGAGAGGAAATCCGAGGCACTCTTGACAGTAAATGTAAGTGTGTGGAATGATTGGAACAATATCTGAACTCTGAACGTTGTAAAGCGCTTTGGGTGACCTTGGTCTGTAAACTGTGCTATGTACTGTAAATAAACATTACTTACTTACTTACTTACTTATTAAATAATAATCCTTAAATGAACTGGGACTGAGGCTACACGTTTCAGCCACATATAGAGCCTTCTTCAGGGCATGCAATAGATTACAGGGTACAAGATGCTGTTTTAATATAATCAGTGCCTTTCACGTGATCTGCGCTCCACAATAAAGAGATGAATGCATACTTTTGAGGTATAATGAATTGAAAGTGTGCTGCTGTTTATGAACGGGCTGATTTTATAAACATATCTCAACAGTCATGCCAGATATCTTTATGTCGATATGATACAATACAACTGAAAACCCAGCACATTGTTATTGTTGTTATCTTCAGCCGTCAATCCACATCAAGCATGAGAGAAGGTTTGTGGTTGGCCGGCTGTATTTGGTGCATTCAAGGGAAATCAGAAAAATGAGCACGGGGAAATCTATATTGTTTATTTTGTCACTTGTTTTTGGTTTTTGGCTTTTTGGTGTGGTGTATTCTCCTCATGTCTGCATAAGTGTCCTCTGGGTGTTCTGGTTTCTTCCACCACTAAAACATGTACAGTATAGTTCAAGGTGATTGAGAGAGAGTTTGTGAGTGCGACTGCGGGACAATGGATGGACATTAGCATATGGCTACAATCTGCTGTATTTACGGCACTGCTGTAAGATAATTTCACACAAAAAATACATAGAAATATTCTACATATAGATAAAGAAAAATCCACAAAGTAATAAAGGACACAAATGTACATATGCCCAGAATTTTCGCTTTCCAAACGTAAAGCTGTCAAAATGACTGCTCTGTCAGTTCCAGTCTACAAACATAAATACATGAATAGATACATATCTCGCTATGATAACCTCTGTTCTTTCAGCCCAAGTTCATAAAAACCTAACATTGGTACAATCTTTACACAAATACACTAAAACATTAGCACACATATCTGCATCTTGTCTCATTAAACATGTCATCTCTCTTTTCAGTTGTTACTAAAACAATTTAATAGATGAAAAAGATGCCAGAATATGTTTACCGCAGATCTGGCTCTTGAGATGTGTGTATTGCTATTATTTAAAAACACTTTTCATGATGACAAAGTAAAGAGTGCGCACCTAAGTATCGCTACATGCTGGAGATCAGAACAATGTGTGGTTGCTCCGTGTCTTCTGAGCACACATACTTCCTGCTTGTCACACACAAGTTGCCTAATTTTTCCTGTCACCACATTTCACGCTAATCACTTTTACGGCTGCTGTCAGTGCTGTGAAAATAGACTATTGTGGTATCATCTCCGCAGGTTCGTGTGGTTTGTTTACATCCCACAGCTTCGACAGATTTTCACCTTTTTACTTTTATTCTCCATGTTGTCAACTTGTACTTTGGCACATGTTCAAAAGCTCATAATCATTCTGTCCGTCTCGAGGGGTTTTGTTTGTATCATAGTGAATTGTGAATGTACAAATAGTGATGTAGTAGTATTGATTATCTTCAGACTTTTTTGTGTGTATATAATATATTTCTGCTCATCTCCTGCATTAGTGATTTTTATTGCTTGATTGGTTTCTGTATGATTGAGGTATATTGAACCTGAAATCATTAATATGGTATGGATAGTCCTTTTTTGCAGATGAGAAATGGAGAAGATCTGTAATGTTGACAGATTTACAAATCTATTTAAATATTATTATCAACAATTGCATTTTGGGTTCAGTCTTTAGAGATAAAGGAGGTGCCGTTTTCTGAGAGCATAGTCTTTTAACTGAGATATAACTTCTGGTAGGTGGTTATTGACTCCCAGCCGCCTGCAGTTTATTAACATATTGATTCTTTGAAACAGTATTTCAATAATCAATGTATTTGATAAAATATTGCAAAATCCATATTCTTGCCGTCTGTCTCTCTGTCTTAGGTTCTTAAAGTGGGGTAGCTACACGTTTATTATAAATTCTATTATATAATGTGCAATATAGCAATCATCACAAGTGTCACATGATCATTTTTATGTATTTTCTTTTTTTTTTTTTTCTTATCATACGTTCTGTGCTTTTTTACTCAAATTTTCAACCGATATATTTTTTATTTTGCAGTTCTTGTAAAAAGAATATGGGCATAACAGACAAAAAACATAAACAAGAAGAACAAATTAAAAATTACATACATACATGTACACATACATACCCCCAGAAGCATACATACATACACATATACAGTACATTACATACTGTATACCCATACATATACAGGAGTGAATGGTGGGTGGAGGTCTTTCTGTTTCTGTAATTTCTTTTCGCTATCGTTGTTCTCAGTGATCTTTTCATGATACATAGATGACACTTGTCTGTTTCTGTGCGTCAGGTGAGGAAGACCCTGGATGCCACGCTGCAGACCCTCCAGGACATGCTGACAGTGGAGGACTTCGATGTGTCCGATGCCTTTCAGCACAGCCAGTCCACCGAGTCCGTCAAGTCTGCATCCTCCGACTCCTACATGAGCAAAGCTAACATCACCAAGAGACGGGCCAACCAGCACGAGACCGAGGGCTTCTACTTCACTGTGAGATTAAGCCCAAGATCAGAGTTGCATCATCAGTTACAGAACAGCAGGAATGAAGAGCACATAGCACAATATAAATGAACACAGCTCTATACTTCATACTAAACTCTATACTAAATCAAATCTAGCGCTAGCATAATAAGGAAGCAATCTATAATATAAAAACATGGCCTTTTTATAGTTTAGGTCTAACTTTTCTCTTTCCATAGACATAAACAGATTTTGTTCCTATGCAGAAAATTGTGCAACTTTATCTACTAGTTTATTAAGACAGATCTGAACTATGATTTAGAAATACTGCTTTTTTTGATATAACAGTACAATGTTTTTCCAAGAAGGCCAATACAGTGGTCCCTCATTTATTGTATTTTCACCACTTATACTTGATACATACAGTACAATCCATAAAATAAGAAATGTTTATGATTTACAGAAATACAAGGAGTACTTGAATGGCAGCAACCTCATAGTGAAACTTCAGGCCAAACACGACCTTTTGAAGCAGACGCTGGGGGAAGGTGAGTGTTGCATAAGACGAGGAGACTGCGTCAAGTTCAGAGTTAAAGGTTAAAACAAGTGAATCTTCATTAAGTCGATAAACTTGTCCAGAGCAATGCTTCTCAAGTCTCAAGTCCAATTCATGCTTCATAAGACAAACAAAGTGTGTAAAAACACTACAAAGGCTTATTTGTTGCATATTATTCCGTATTTTTAAAACCTGGTGTAGATCTGTGGACCAGGTCTTGGACCAGGAAGAGTTACTCTTGATCTATTACTTGGTCTAAGTGTTTAGAACAAGCTACACAAACTGCCAAAAGCAGCTGTTAAAGAAATTGATTCATCTGTTGAGTAGTGATACTAATTACTAAGTTGTTATAAATCTACAATATTAAAGACATATTTGTAGTTTCGTGTTTTGTATCCTAGAGGGTTCACCTTGAAACTGATTTATACCTAGTTCCAGTATTCTGGTCTGGTTTAGATTTTCACTTAAGGCTATACCAGCATAAGCATATACTTTATAGTATATACTTTAGAAGCATATACTATAAAATATACACAGGGAATGTACAGGTGTATGGCAACATAATGTATTTTTGAGATATATATAGTTCTTATATGTAGTGGATGTAAACACGTTTCTTGCCATCCTCCTGCTCATGTTCTTTAGTGCGTCTTAACTCTACTGAGAGTTCTGGCTTTTATCTCTGGATTAAGTTTATTTGACGTAAAGTAAGCTCTTGCAACGGGCCACTTCACACATGACATGATTTTCAAACAGCAAGTGATCAAAGCTCCCTGCAGCCAGTCCACGAGACATTCTGAAATATCGCACCGAGCTGAATCGGGTTAAGTTCTTTCCCACTCCCCCTGGAGACACTTCCCTTTGGGGGCGGGGGGCAGAGAGGAGGAAAACAGCTTTATGTTAGACAGTAATTAAGATCTATTGAGGTGGACTAAGCTACCCACTTGTTGGTAATGTCTTAAATATATTCCCCTTGTAGTACTGTACAAGTCAAATAACATTTCATATACAAAGCATTTGATGAGTTCTGATAAAACTAGCAATGGTTCTTGAGATACACTTCTGGTTGGACAAAGTGAAAAGTGCACTAAGCAACTTTTCTCATGAAGCTTACCTCCTGCTTGTTGCCATAGAGATGCAATTACTTTGGAATGTACCTCAGTGTGACAATAAACTTGGTAATAATGAGCAGATATCCCTCTCCTCGGGTATGACCTGTAACTTTGCTAAGCGATTTGAAATTTACTTTTACATTAAGCAAATGTAGGCCAACCCTCAACTGCAGGGAGAGAAATAAATATGTATAGCACCTTTGATCTGAGAGAAACACAAAAACCACACATGAAGCTACACACTTGATGTAAAAGTTCCCCTTTGTTATATTGTTATTGCATACAGTGCATATCAAATAGAAAGTACAATGCACTTTCTACTGTCCAACTTTATTCGGACTGACCCCCCCCCCCGGTTGCCTCTGGATCCACTTCCCTTTTGGGCGGTTTCTAGGGCGACCACTGAATGGCGGTGAGTCAAACCCGCCGTGCCCCCCTCCCTACCCCGCATTCACGGTTTGAAAAGAGGCCGTGCTTTCAGGGCTCTTTTCTGTGTCCATCTGCCAAGGTCTGCACTCAGGCGTACAAGTCTGTTTACTAACGCCGCTTTTGGCTTTTCTCTTGCAGGGGAAAGGGCTGATTATGGAACAACCAGGTAAGAATCTATCTCAGACCAATTTCATCAAAAAAAATAAAATCTCAACTGTGCACAAAAAATCATTTAAAAAAACTACATGGACAAAGTTATTGAGAAAATATTCCTTAATGTATAATACTTGATGTGAAAAAGATGCATAATTGATCACAAACTGTTGCCCATGAAATAATATCATATCCTAAATCAAAACAGCATTCATTCACTGTTGTAGTTTACCCAGTATCAGCGGCAAAGAATATTTACTTGTTTTGAAATTGTGTAAGTACAGGTTTAGTACAGTTAAGTACAGGTTTGAGTATGTCCTTAACTCAGGCATATCCACACTAAGGCCTGCGGGCCAACTGCGGCCCCCTGTGTCATTTTGTTTGTCCCTCTGCCTGGCTAACACGAAGTAGCCATTGAGGTACTTTCACAATGTCATCCAGCCAACTTCTGCTCCACCGATGCAGTCATGAAACACCTCGTTGTAAAGCTAGAGCTCTGTGGAATCCAGTAGTTGATATATTTTTGTTGTTGAATAAATAACGGACAGTATATCTAGTGACAATTTAAACATTGCCTTTGAAAAACGTATTGTATACTGTTGTAGAAAAGTTCCACACTGGCATAGAATAAAAATAAAAATAAAAACATGTAGGAATGAAGCTGGATTAGCACGACTGGTTATCTGAACTAATTTATTTACTCACCTAGACATTTGTGAACTCGGATTCACTTGCGGAGTAACTGAACCACTGCTTATACATTTTGGGCAACAGTGTTTTGAACTGAGTTATGCATTCATCAATACTGGTGTGATAACCATGTACCAACAGTCCACCCCCGTCTTCCCCCAGGCCCCCCACTCTCCCCCCTAAACCCCACAGAATGAGGAAGTATAGACCGTGCTCCGTTTTTAACCGTAAGCTGTTTAACGGCAATATGGCGGCATTCATCCAGGTACCAGCTCTGTGCCCTCTGTGTCTGCGTGGGCTGTTTACGTGTCCTCCACTGGGTCTGTCTTCTGCCTCTGGCCCAAAGCACTCGCTCAAATGTCTTCTTCCTGCTCACTGCTTTTACTGTAAACATTCAAAAGGGGAGCCTCCACCTGGTGATGGTTTCTTATGCTATTTACTTCCCTGCCTTCCACACAACCGATATGTTTTTAAGCGCTGTTTTAGCTAATATAGCTTTCTCTAGACAGAACCGTGATAAAGGCAGGATCACCCTCACTCAGCCCATCAGCTCTCATCCCAAAAATGACTGACAGGGCTCTTTCTTACAAGTATGCAATAGATTTCTTAAAAAAATATTTCTCATAATTGTATTCCTGCTTATTTATGCAGCAACAAAGTAATGTATCCCATCTTTAAAATAAGAATCGCCAATAAAAGCTGCTTATGGATCATATTTAGATATTTATTTAGAATCTTGCCGCCTCAAGATTGAGACCACTGCTGACTTCAGGCATCGCTTTCTTTCTTAAATTGTATTATAATTTTTTTGCATTAGGAATCATTTATTTTGTTCCAGTTACCTCAAATATGTCAACAATGATCCCAAAACCCCACATACTGTTTGGAGATTTAAACAGGAGATTAGGCCACTCTTTGCGGTCGTGGTGTGCATTTGGGCGAATCATCGGCCTCTGGTCTGTCTCTCACACTAACCTGCTCTTGTTGTTTCTTCTCGTCTTACTGCTCTGTGTCCAGGGGGAGAAGAAATGTCCGTGCCAGAAGTCAGGTATATGTTCTTGAACGCGGACATAGATCATCCTTATCATACTGTATACTACACATGTGCACATCATACTGTATAATATAGAAACATAGATAGTAACAAATAGACACAGCTAACCACTCTGCCGCTCTTCTGTTTTCATTCATGTGTTTTACTAACAATGCATTTGCCTATGTCCACTCCGTCTGTCCTGTAGTATTTCATGAATGTTGAAATGTCTATCTCATAATGTTGTTATTCAAATAGTTTGCCGTGTCATTGTCTTTTCTCTTCATTAAACTAATTCTAATGGTTTTTTTGGCCACAGGACTCCGGGCAGCCCATACCTGCAGTGGTTGAGAGTTGTGTTCGCTACATCAATCTATATGGTAAGTTCTTGTGCTGGCATTGTGCAAAGATATGTAAACATGTATTTATATATGGAACAACAAAATTCAGTAAAACATAAGAAATATGTATAAAATATGTCATTAAAATAGGCAAGAAAACGCAGGGTTTTTTTTATCCATCACGACTATTTTATTCAGTCTTTTTGATAATAATTTCAGCCACAACATTCGTAAATGAGTACATGTATTCCCCCAGTAATTGAACATAATCCTTAGCATGAATGTTAAATTGGTTTCAACATTGCTGTAAACCCATTTATTCAAACATTGTAGACCAATTTTTTATTTATGTTGATTCATTACCCTTAAAATTTTCTTCGAACCACGCGCTACTCGGTTATTTGTCTCACATTGAACTGGAAAGTGTATGTACATTATGTAAGTGCGCGGCTCTCACACATGAGACGCTTTGTGAAATTGTTATTCGATGAAATAAACAGGACTAATGAGCACACTGTCAATCACAGAAAAACCATCTCTGCTCTAACTGTAAACGCTGCGTGGGCTTTTAATTAACCCAGGCAGCTCACACCAGGGGGCGCTCTTATAGACTGCATGTATTTTTCATGACACTGCACACAAACTCGTCTCTATTTTACATCCATAGTTCACACAATTCAGTTTCTTGTTTTTATGGATTTATTTTAAGGTCCTTCCTTTTGAATTCTCCCTCTGTGGAGTTGAAGATTAATGTAATAGTTTTTACATTTAATTTAATCATATGTGCAAACCTAAATGTAGTTTTGCGGAAGTGTCTTTAGGATGCAGCTGTTCCTGACGTATCTCGCTTGTAGGGTTAGGGTTATATGACACTAAATCTACATTTTGGGTGAATACACTTGTAATCTATGCAAAAAAAAACATGTTTTCATAGGTCTTCAGCAGCAGGGTATATTCCGAGTACCTGGATCCCAAATAGAAGTCAATGATATCAAGAATGCATTTGAAAGAGGTCAGTATCTGCATGTATGTCTATGTGTAAGTGTATGTGTGCGTGTGTATGTATGTATGTGTGTGCGTGTGTTTGTGTGTGTGTGTGTGTGTGTGTGTGTGTGTGTGTGTGTGTGTGCGTGTGTGAGTGTGTGTATGGGTGTGCGTGCGTATGTGTATGTGTATTTGTATGTGTATTTGTGTGAGCATGTGTATGTGTATGAGTATGTGTATGTGTGTGTATGTATGTGTGTATGTTTATGTGTGTGTGTGCGTTTATGTGTATGTGTGTGTGTGAGTATGTGTGTATGTTTGTGTGTGTGTGTGCGTGTATGTGTATGTGTGTGTGTGAGTATGAGTATGTGTATATGTATGTGTATGCGTGTGAGTATGTGTGTGAGTATCTGCATGTGTGTGTATGTATGTGTGTATGTTTATGTGTATATGTGTACGTGTGTGTGTAAGGCAAGGAAAGTTTATTTATATAGCACAATTCATACACAAGGCAATTCAAAGTGCTGAACAAAATAAGAAAGCATTAAAATCATAAATAATCACAGAACATTAAAAAGAAAGATACAAATATAAAATCCCTCAGTTGTATGCACAGCTAAACAGAACTGTCTTTAACCTGGTTTTAAACATTGTCAGAGAGGAGGCCTGTCTCACATCTTCAGGAAGACTGTTCCAGATTTTAGCAGCATGAATCTGAAAAGCAGCCTCCCCATGTTTAGTCCTGACTCTGGGCACTAACAGGAGTCCAGTCCCTGTGCTCCTCAGAGTCCGGGCTGGTTCATATGGGACTAACATGTCACTAATATATTTTGGTGCGAGGCCATGGTGAGACTTGTACACAAGCAGAGCTGTTTTAAAGTCTATTCTCTGAGCCACAGGAAGCCAGTGCAGAGACCTGAGGACTGGACTAATGTGGTCGTACTTCCTGGTTCTTGTCAGGACTCGAGCTGATGCATTTTGAATGTACTGCAGCTGTTTTACAGCCTGTTTGGACAGACCTGTGAGCAGGCCATTGCAGTAGTCTAACCTACTGGAGACAAATGCATGGATAAGAATCTCCAAGTCTGCTTTAGACACTATGTTTTTTATCCTGGCAATGTTTTTTAGATGGTAAAAAGCTGCTGATGTTACTGATTTGATGTGGCTATTAAAATTTAAGTCTGAGTCCAGTATTACCCCTAGATTTCTGACCTTGTTTGAAGGTTTTAGGGAGAGAGACTGTAGGTGACAGATGACGCTCTCTCTTTTGTTTCTGGGGACCAAAGACAATCATTTCAGTTTTGTCTGCGTTTAGCTGAAGGAAGTTGTTTTGCATCCACTCACTGATCTGTTGGATACAGTGAAGGAGTGAGTCCACTGGTCCATGTTCTCCTGCAGTCAGTGAGACATAGATCTGAGTGTCGTCTGCATAGTTATGATAGGACACTTTGTTTCTGCGTATTAACTGACCTAACGGCAGCATGTAGAGATTGAACAGAAGAGGTCCCAGGATCGACCCCTGTGGTACTCCACAGGTCAGGGCCATATGATCTGAGACACAGTTTCCAATCTCCACAAAGTACTTCCTGTCCTCAAGGTAAGACCTAAACCAACTTAGGGCGGTGCCAGCGACTCCAACCCAGTCCTCTAGTCTCTGTAAGAGGATCTCATGGTCGACAGTGTCATAGGCAGCACTTAGATCTAACAAGATTAAGATTGAGACTTTGCCTGCGTCAGTGTTCAGCCGGATATCGTTTGTAACCTTGACAAGAGCAGTCTCAGTGCTGTGGTGGGGTCTAAAGCCGGTGTATGTGTGTGCGTGTATTTGTATGAGTGTGTGTGTGTGTGTATGTTTATGTGTATATGTGTACGTGTGTGTGTGTATGTATGTGTGTATGTGTGTGCGTGTATTTGTATGAGTATGAGTATGTGTAGCGTACAGAAGCTGTAGTCGTGACCATACAGTACGTTACACTGAGGCTGAATCAATTCTTCCATGACGTCTAGACCACAACACTGGAGTCTAGACGTCATGGCATATTCTGTAAGTCAGATTTCAAATGATGTCCTGGTAATTCAGTGTATTATTCTCCCGTATTCAATTTCTAAACATGTGTGTACAGCCCTGGATGAAAAAAGGCCATGTTTTTTGTTTTAATTGGAAGTTGCTCATTGTCAGTCTGAGTAAAGATAAGATTATAATATGTTGCTTTTATTTGTTGAAAACGCTTTTGTTGGATTGATATTTGCATTTGAACATTGGTTTTCTGCAAGTATTGATGTGGTGAGAGCAGAAGGGCAAATATTGGATATGAATTGGATACTGAATAGAAACAAAAACAAACATATCTACTTTTCTCAATGCATTATTCATATGGTTTACATTGTGGCAGAATAATAACAGTGCAAATGAAACAGAACTCTTTGCCTGACTTGTAGAGCACATCAAAACTGGAGTGAGGAGTTTGTCTGAATGATTGAAGAGATTTGTTTTGCTGTGACCAGGAGAGGACCCGCTCATGGACGACCAGGCGGACCATGACATCAACTCTGTAGCCGGAGTCCTCAAGCTTTACTTCAGGGGTTTGGAGAATCCACTCTTCCCAAAAGAGCGCTTCCTCGACCTCCTGACCACCACCAGTGAGTAGAGTTCTAAAATATGAAGGATGAGAAATGGAGACTCATTTTAGTGGAAAAGATCATTTAAGTTGATCAGTATTATGGTCTTCAATAATATCAGCTTCATGACCAGATTGGTTTTCTTTTCTTCAAGCAGAAATATCTACTTTTTAGAGCGTTTTCCACTTTTTCACCATTTTACAACATTGTTCCCTCATTGTAAACAGACCTGGAGTTGTTTTTAGATCAATCCCTCCTGATATAAGAAATTTCTAACAAAAACATTCAATTCTGGCCCTTCTAAAAGCTCCTGTCTTACAGTTCAAAAACAGAGCAGTTTTCTGTACTGTTTAAACCTGAGTTTAAATGAATTGTTTTACAGTGGTACAGCTGTGTTTTCAGCCAATGTTTTTTAAATTTGTAAAAATGAATAAACAACTTCCTCTTCTCTATTTGAGCGACAGTTAAATATTTCATATTCTAAAGCAAAAAGTTTCACTATATTTTTTGATGGCCAAAAATAATGCATTATATATATACATTTTTATTTGTTCTGCGTCATTATTCAGTAAAATGTGATAAAACTGTATTTATGCTACACCCTGATTTTTTCACTTGCTGCTAATCTGCCTGTTTAGCATTTACTCTTGTTATGGCTTATTCTCCATGGCAGCCGCTATCTACGTGTTCTGTGTATTAAACTACAACTATATACTAATATTATTCATTCGTTTTTTGTGTTTTTGTGTTTGTAATTTGTGACTTCGTTCATTCTTATGTTTAATGTTGCAGAGCTGGATCCTGGGGCTGAACGAGCGCGTCACCTCCAACAGATAGTTGGGACTCTACAAAGACCTGTCATTATTGTCATGCGATATCTCTTCGCTTTTCTAAACCAGTAAGTTGTGATTTCTTTTTTTACTACTTAGACTGGGGCGGCACGGTGGCTGAGTGGATAGCACTCTCACCTCTCAGCAAGAAGGTCCTGGGTTTGAATCCCGGTCGGACCAAGGCCTTTCTGAGTGGAGTTTGCATGTTCCCCCCCTGTCTCCGTAGGTTTCCTCCGGGGTACTCCGGATCTGGCATGAGCCTTCTGTACTGGCGACCCCGCTCCCATCTCTGTGTGGAGTGAGAGGACAAATGCCCCAAAATAACAATTGTGAACCGCTTTGTGACTCTGCTCTGTGAAAGGCGGTATATAAATAAAGATTACTTACTTACTTACTTGGGAATATCGTTTGTGATGGAGATGAACGATTGTTATCTTTTAATATTACAAAATAGGTTTTACTTTTAAGCATACGGGCAACCAACATGTCCTGAAGTGGCATTACTCTTGAATTAGCCTCATCACGTCACATGTATTTAAAATGTCTTTTCGTAGGCCTGTCACGCTCTAAACTAAGTAATGAAATGATTGAATGTGATTGATTTAAAGCCAGATTTAATGCCAAACACTTCAGGCAAAGCAGTCACGGCTCGTCAGTTCAAATGATGCCATAATAATGATCAAAAATAAGTTATGTCCACTGCACTGCACCATCAAAAACCATAGAAGGAAAATAGTCATATATCATCATTCAAAAAAAACTAAAATTTTGTTTGAAGAAAAACAGCTCAATTGTATTTTTCTGTATTATTATTTTTTGTCCAGTTTATCGCAGTACAGTGATGAGAACATGATGGACCCCTACAACCTGGCGATCTGCTTCGGTCCCACTCTCATGCCCATTCCGGACGACCAGGACCCTGTTTCCTGTCAAGCCCACGTCAACGAAGTCATCAAAACATTTATTATGCACCATGAGGCCATCTTCCCAACCCAAAGAGAGCTGGACGGCCCGATGTATGAGAAATGCATGGCTGGAGGGGAGGAGTACTGGTGAGTCTAGATTTATGATATGATTTTATCTTTGATTTTATATTTACTCTTTTTAATGCACTGTGGCGGCGATTTTTTAATCCTGTGTGGGATTTTAATGTTTTAAGGCTTTGAATTATTTTTGTGATTATACTGTTTATGTTTTGAGTATTTCTTGTGATCCTATTGTGTGTGTTTTTAATGTCCTGTGGGATTTTAATTCTGTTTTAATGTTTATGATTTATGCCTGATGAGATATGGGTTTTGAGGCGCTTTGTGTTGGCTTGTGTAGGAAAGGTGCTTTATCGATAAAAGCAGATTGATTGGTTGATTTTTATATGAGGGAGTGAATAGACTACTAGCAAAGTAAAATGTTTAAAAAAATAAACAAAACAGGTCAATTGACTTAAACTGATAACAAACTCTGGAAATGAATCTTGCTCGTTGCCGTAATGTACAGTATGGCTTAATAAATGTCATCACAACATCGTGTCACGCCGTCAGCTCCGTAGAGAGTTCAATTGCAGTTCACAGCTCTATCCATTATATATTAGGATCAGGAATGGATAAATAAAGAAATAAGAGGTAAAATTTACTCAAACAGGAATCACTCAATAGACAGTTGTGTCTGACAAGAGGAACTCATCAATGGCTTAATGCTAGTTTAATGTCATTCTTTTACGATATATTTGATACATCTTTTCACAGTGAAAGTCCGCACAGTGATGCAGGCGCTCTGGATGAAGTGGACAATGGCACTGGACCAAACACAAGTGATGAAGGTGAGTATTTATAAAGGCTTTACACTACATCCACAAACATTTACAAAAGACCATGCAAAGTGGCAGTCAATTGTGCGGTGGAAGTTAAATTACAATTAAACAATCTTTTCAAACAAAGAAATAAACTGATTGAAAAAGTATTCCAGCCCAATCCAATTTAGAGTCTGCAACAAGATCTAACTTATCCAGAACTCAAACTTTCTACAGCTAATGTGGCCAAGCTAGAGTTGTTTTGCTAAAATAATGAGAAAAATAGGAGAAAAAAAATGTTCCAGATGCACAAAGCTGGGAGAGAGTAAACGCTGTAGTCACCCAGAGGGATGAGTTTGTATTTCACAGAAATATCTTTGTTTGTGGTCTTAATGAGATAAAATGTGGGATAATGTATGGGGCATGAATACTTATACTAATTGTGTGTGTTGACAGAGCTGGAGCAGATTGAGGCCATAGCAAAGTTTGACTACGTCGGGCGTAGTCCCAGAGAGCTGTCCTTTAAGAAAGGGGCGTCTCTGCTGCTGTATATGCGAGCGTCTGGCGACTGGTGGGAAGGACGGCACAACGGAGTGGACGGACTCATCCCACATCAGTACATCGTGGTGCAGGACATGTAAGGACTTGACATCCTTTTATTCAAGTAGAATAACAAGGGTACCACCGGAAAATGTTTGCATAGCAGTGGTCAATGTGTGGTTTATTTTTTCAAATTCATAAAAAAAAAACATAGACATACAAATACACGAAGGACCACAAAACCTCAAAGACTAGACTGTAACCTTAGCTGATCTAACGTTTATGGCATGGACCCTTGATGTGGACATTTTCCAGAATAGAAGCTCCCGATCTTATTCCATCTCTCAGAGACGTTTCAGAGCTGAGCCCTTCTTCAGACATCTGACGTCTATTAAAATTACCAAGTACTTTATTTTTACAAGACAAAAATGTGTTGAATCCTCTACCGTTTCAATTCTCAAGTTTTAGGCAGTTGTGTAAACATTTAATTTAATACATGTATAAATTAAAACTAGTGTAATATCCAATCAGGGCTGGATTATCATGATTCTTTTCCCCATATTGATAGGTAAAAAGTCATGGTGTTGCCTTCTTTCTGATGCCTCTTCAGCTCTGAGTACAACATTATTGGTGTCTGTCTATTTTAAAGCATGTGGCGATAATGACCACAACCAAAGATGAGTCTGCAGTCTTCTGATTGTCTATTGTCTTATGTAGTAGATGCTTGTTCATGCGTTTGCTGTTAGTAAAAGATGATTCTCATAATGAAATAATAATGAGCCTGATGTTTGTTTCAGGGACGATGCTTTCTCAGACGGGCTCCACAGGACGGACAGTGAGACGAGCAGCGTTCACCATGACGACAGAGCAGTGAGAGAGAACCAGACTGAGCACACGCCCGAGCACCGCTTTGGCCCTGCACACAGCAGGTAAATTAGCATTGTTCTTTTCGTTTTTCTTCCCAGTCATAGTTAGAAGTCATTGTAGCTATTAAAAGTATGTGGTATCCACAGTTTAGAATGATTACATAAATAAAAACATGCTTTTTGATGCAGAGTCAGAGTGCGTTCAGATGGAGCTGCAGTTCCTCGTCACAGACACACGGGGGATGGTCACAGCCCGCCTCGAGCAGAGCCCCCTAGAGTCCTGCCCCGGCCCTGCAGCCCTCAAAAGATGGCCGTGAGCAGAGGTCCTATGGACAGCCCAGAGAAGAGGCGCCTCACTACCTTTGGCAGCTCAGGCCACATCAGCCACTCTCAGCGCGCCTCCCCCAGCACCACACGCCACGCCAGCCTGGGCGACCACAAGGCCCTGGAGGCTGAGGCTCTGGCCGAGGTGAGGCCTGATTTTGTGATTTTATTCATGTAATGGAAGAGAAATTAATGTATGGTATGATTTGGTTTAGGACATAGAGAAGACCATGAACACAGCTCTACATGAGCTGAGAGAGCTGGAGCGGCAGAATGTAGCCAAACACGCTCCGGACGTGGTGCTGGACACTCTGGAGCCCATGAAGCACCCAGGGGTGCAGGACGTGCCGGGCAGCCCCCTCCATACCATGGTGATCCGGGACCCTGACGCAGTGCAGAGGCGCAGCAGCAGCAGCTCCTCCTCTGAAACCATGACCACTTTTAAACCCTCTCTGAGCAGCCGCCGGCCCAGCGCCCCCATGAGGCCTCCACCGGTACGACCTGTGAGACCAGCTCCTGTCCTGGGGCAGGGACCTGGGCCGCATCGCTCTAGCAGCTCCAGCTCCTCTGGCTTAGGCAGCCCGGGCATCACACCCACAGAGAGGGGCTTCCCCAAGGCCCCCTCCCCTTCTCCCTCCACCTCCTCCTCCTCCTCAGACAAACAGGGGAACATGTAGTGAACTGTGAACGGTGGAATGATTGTAATCTCTCTCACACATTTCTAAAGACACCTGGTCTGTATCAATATGAAACTACCTTAACACTGCTGCTGCTGGTCACTCAGCCTTCCTCTGGACTGGTCAGTGATCAAAGACTTCAAATAAATAGCATTTTTAAGAGACTTCCACAATCACATATACTGCTATGCTGAACAGAACTGGATGCACTGGAAAGCTTGTTGAGAGTTGTTTTGAGCTGTGTATGTATGACCACCATTTGTGGTGGCGCTGTGTCTGTAGAAAATATGTATGCAATTAAAAAATCACCACACTCCATAGGCCCACAGGGTTAAATATATCTTTACTGGACTGTGGCCTGATCTGGGCTTTCTGAGTTCAGGCTTTGTGTATATCAACTGGCCTTTTTGACACTGTGGTCAAATCACACTTTAGAGGCTTTTTATCTGTGCTAAATGCTGATGCCTCAGAACCTAGTGACATACGTGAGGATCCTTCATGTGTGTGGCCATGACTTTATGATGAGCTTTTAGATATAGCTTTTATACTGATCCCAGGTGAGAAAAAACAAGTGACATGTGCGTTCATGTAATGCGAAGTTGGTACAGTCTGTTTAAAACATGTTATATGAAGCACAAATGTGAAAAGCATTGGACACACCCCTGACTTCTGTCTTTGTGATTTTTCTACACTGATGCCAGACCAACAGTGGCTGTCAGGCAGAGACATGCACAATCAATAGTAATTTGAGTCCTGAGCTTCTCCTGCCCACCCTGTCCTCCAGCTGTTATCAGAAAACAGCAAGAAGACATTTCTTTTCAACCATACTATTGCATTATTTATAAATATCACAGCAGTAGTTCAAATGTAAACCAGGTACCATGATTTAGAGGACCATGAATTACAGTGGACGATGTATACATTCCATCTATAACTAATATAAAATCGAAATAGAAAGTATAGTATGAACATTACCTCAAAAAACAAGTACAAATCAAGAGACTAATGCACTTATACACTACAGGAAACCTGCTGCATTGTGAGACCTGTATTTTACTAGAAAACAGAAATAGCACATTCGTATCAAGTGTTTACTGTCAGTGCTGTGTGTTGTCTTGAGGATGAAAATATATCTTGTGAAATAATAATGTAGGTATTTGAATGACTATATGGATACTTCTGTTAAAGATGTAAAAATAACATTGTATGATAGGAATGGAATATAATATCTTTTTGTAACTTGTATCCTTGCACAGATATTAGCAGAAGAATAAATTCTTGAAATATAATGAGTGGTGATTACTTTGCTCAAGGAGACAAGTGGAGGGACATAACGGTTCAAGAGCTCCATCCTATGGTCACAATGTGGAAATGCACAGGGTGTTAGGCCAGACCATAACACACAAACACATTGTAATTTAGGAGGGTATTTAAAACTATAATTAATAAGTTACTTTATTCACATAAAAGACACATGGTTTGAAAAGGGGTTGAATGACGCTATTTTTATCTCAACCATTCAACACATACGCAATTACATAATACAATGTCATGCTTTAATACATACAGCAATACAATAAATATTAACTTATGATCAAAAACCACTTTGGATGCCCAAAGATGAAGCTGTTTATCTTCAGTAAGAAAGCTTGGTCAGGACTACCAGAGCTGGGGGATATAACATGTTTTAGTGGTAGGGGGAACCAGAGCACCTGGAGGAAACCTACACAGAGAAAATGCAAACCCAGAAAAACCCGCTTCTGACATGGGTTGTGGACTCCAGACCTTCTATTTGCTGATAAACAAGAGTGCTAACCACTGTGCCACCGAGCTGCCCCTCAATAATAGAAAGCGTATTGTTTTAATAAAGACAACAGTGATTGCAAACTGGTCACTACAAGCAAGGTCATCAGATGATAAAATCCCACACTTGTCCACTAAATGAGCAGTACATTTAGTGGACTGCTCTTAAGAGTGCATCATTGGGTTTCTGCAGACAGTGTAACCAATCGGTCATGTCGTCTTTCTTCTTTTTGTTGTGCATTTTACTGATATTAATCTAATTTGAAAATTGATGCACATGAGTATATTCATATAAAATAAATACCTAATTTGAAGTACAGTCTGTTGGGCTAAAGTACCATTTCTGACCAGGAGATGGAGACAATGTCCAAACAAATCGTAAGGTAATATTTACAGTCTATGATAACAACGCGACTAACTGTTGACTTTAAAGGTGCATTTTGTAACTTTGCTGCTTGTCCCCATTTTTCTCCCTAGAGATTGTATTGTTTTTCCTAAAGTATTCCATTTCCCTATATTCCTATAGAGCAGAACATAAGAAAACAAAAAGGAAAGGTGACATCATTTGCTTTGCATGTCTCCATGGACATTATAAGCTGTGTAAATTAGATTCGGTGAAACTTCTAAAACTGTCTGGAGACTAGTCTGATCCTTGGATGAATTATGACTTGATCATTTCTAAACATTCACAGACATTTCGCTCAGACTTTGCCATAAAGAGCGTGACTGAGTAAATAGACACATGACTATTTCCTGCTCTTTGTTGGGTTTTTGTTGTTTTTTTTTTGGTGATCAAGTTAATTCTGCGTGTCTGTTTCCTTTCTTCCATGGACTGGGCTGTAATGCAGTTAGGTGTGTGTTTATTGAGATTAAAGTGAGAATGTAATCATGTTAGAGCCTCGCCTTGGGCCTTCATCAGTGCCATGAGCGCCCTGGACCACCCATGGACACGCGCCTTTTATCGGCTCGGCTCCGACCTGAGTTCAAAAGGCCTTTTCATTAATGCACTGATACGATTAACCAACCAAATCTGTGGCCAAACTACATATTACTGCCTTTTTACGCTATTGATTTGAGACTGTTGCAATAGGTGGAACAATAGGTCTTATATGTGTAATTAATCATGAATAATCGGTATTACCACAGGGCCTCTTAAGTCGAAGTCTCTAAGGCGTTACCAACACCCCAAGGCCTGGACTTCTTTGAGACTTTAAATCTAAGTGAGACTGTAGGTTAAATAAAGGAAAAAATAGAAGACTATGGCCCAAATTATAAGGCCCTTATCAGTTAACCTCAGTTGCTGACTTTATATTGTGTATCTCCTACTGCAATGCACCACAGGGTATTGTGCAACACATGTTATATAGACTCGCCTAAATACTGATCACATACCCTGAAGTCATCTCTTTAACGGAAATATCCTAAAGGACGATTTGCCTTTTGATCTTTGCTCTTTTCAAGGTTTGACTTGACAAAACGCTACATTTAGTGGATTGCTCTTTAGAGTGCATCATTGGGTTTCTGTAGAGCAGAAGTGATGTGAGGCAGCTGCTGACAGAATGAGCATTTCTCTCATCTGTATCTCCACACCATTGGACACCATTGGACACCATTGGACACCATTGGACACCATTCCTCTGTTATCTTTAGGTTAATCACACTTTGAGGATCTTACTATTGTTATTGTTCTAAAGCCTTTATTTTTCCCAAAAATATCATTGCTGAAAACTGCTATAGGAGTCATACCTTCAACCCATCAGACCTGGGAAGCTAAGCAGGGCAGTGCTTGGTTAGTACTGTAACGCTAGACCTCTGGGAACACCAGGTTAGAATGAGTGTGGTGTGAGTGTGAATGGCTGGTGATGGTCAGAGGGGCCGATGGCACGTACTGGTCGCCTCGCTTCTGTCAGTGTGCCCCAGGGCAGCTGTGGCTACATTCAAAGTAGTTTATTACCACAGTGTATGGAGTGAAAGAATGACATGTGAAGCGTCTTTGAGTGTCCAAAAAAAGTGCTCGGAAATTGATGCATTATCATTAGTCTGGGAAGACATGTTTACTGGTGGTACACAAACTCGATCTGAGTTTGTGAATACTCAATACCAGGCATATCAAGTGCATATTGAAGTGTACATGTCAGCTGGAATGTTACAACTGATACGTAATGCAACTTTTGATGCACTGACACCATATTTGCAACCAGTATTGGGTAATTAAAATACACTGTTCCATCAATCCACCAATGTCAGCTTTAGTGTCTCAGTTATCTGATTTGGGACATATTAAATCCATGTCAAGAGGACGATGGCATTGTCTGGTTGTGATTTGTGCGCTGCTTTCAGTTCAATTTGAAGAAGGAGTTGTCAGTCCGGAGTGCACAAGTCCAGATGCATGAATATTCTCTTGATGTTGGTCAGTTGTGTCAGTACAACTGTTCAGATCCTCCACCATCTGCTCAAAATGACAAACAGTGCAACAGTAGCCTGGGATGTTGTCCCAGAAGACAATGACACTGCCCATCTGTCTGAGTGTAGATGTGTAAAAACATTAGAGGTTAAGCTGATATTAGGGCAGTGGTTCTTAACCTGGGGTTGATCGGACCCTAGGTGTTTGGTTAGTCGGTCTCAGGGGTTCGGCAGAGTCCCGACGCGGAGGTCACAATTGTCGAATTGTCTAGTGATAATGACATATTAATAATAATGATAACCTGCCAGCGTCTCGGACTCTGCAGCCACTGCTTCATTTCAAGTATAAACTACATGGATCTATTTGGTATAAACGAACCAATGCCTCAGGGTCAGTTTCATGCGATTTAGTATTGAGGCTCAAAACAGTCTCATAAATATCCATAGAACGCAATAATACAGAGCTGCGTTCCAGAACTTCCAGGTGCAGAGCAGAGCCTCCGATACAGGGCAGATGAATGATTTGGAAGTTGTATGTTCTACTTGCTTATCTTGATAAAGATTTGTTCTTATCTTTTGTTATACTGATCTATGGGGGCAGTTATTATTGTATTTATTATTTTGTTTGCCTGAAATAAACTTTACAGGCTTGTGGCACCACCTGCGTGTGAAATCCCTGATCCTGGCAGACCTCATCATTATTATCATCATTATTACAAAACAATATTTTACAGAGCCACAATGTAATTCCACTGTAGTCAGCTGCCCAGGCAGACAGAAGTGAAGCTGATCAC